ATCCAAAACCAGATACAGGCCCGCCACCACCTCCCAGAACCCACCTCCTACCCACCCCCACTACCCACCAGCTCCACCTGAGAACGCGGCTTAATCATCCATCGAACAAACTTTGTCCCGTCAGCAATGTGGAATGTGCCTGCCCCTTTATATCCGCAATTAAATTGCCAATGCTCTCGTCTCCGTCCGCAAACGCTTCAGTGCTCGCCGCTGATTGATAAGATTTCACCCAAATTGCCGCTTCTCCACTAATCGTGCCCAAAGACAAAAGCTTTCCCTCGTAAAACGGTGCACAAAAGCGGCGATAACTTGTTTGCCCAGCAGCCCCATTACATCTTCCCCACTTTTTAGCACCTGCTGCTGCAGCTTCACTTGTAAGACAACAGGAAATAAAGACTATCTTGAGTTCTCCTCCTGCACTTCTCGACTCTTTTATCAAGTGTAGAAGTACGAACTTGACCTTGGCGGCTCGAATCCAAAGTACACTACAAAAATTTTTGTGAATCATGCACATCAGGGATATCAGAGATACATTTTGAATGCTCCAGAACTAGGCAGATATTTACGCAACTCTAGTGGTGTATATAGACCACGTTTCATTTGTATATTCTCCAAAAGTACAGAGCTATATTGTACATACATATTAGAGATTAAACTAGTTTCCAGTGTTCTGTAGAAATAAGCGATATAATTTTTATCAAAAACATGAACCTAACTAAATCGTTTGAATGACGAGTGCATACTTAAACATACCGCTCTCAAAATTAATTTGTTTTAAATAAAAACTGTACATGATATAAATATAATCTTAGAAAAGGCTTCAAAGCAACGCTCAGAATAAAAACACTGCTGAAATAGAGAGACTTCCATTTGAAATTAACATGTAGCCTCGGAAAGAGTACGTTCAAGAAAATAAACACAGAGTTAAAACAAAAGCAATGCCCGACAAATCGATGGATGAATGGATGACACAGGGGAAAAGACGAGAAAAACCCGAAGAAGACGCAACAGAGTGATACAAAAACTTGTCCGCGGGAACGGGGAATGCTATATTTTGTGACGACTCGTATTCAATTGGAAGAGCAAACAGCTCTTTAATAAGTCCGCATAAATTAAAAGTGTCAACATAAACAGAGGCAGAGTGAGAGAGCAGCAGCGATAACTTCTTTGATTAAGCTGGCAGATTATATTTACCCTGCTCAGCCAGTCAAAGGCAATTTTAATCACCACTTACCCAAGCCGTTGCCCATCTTTTATTTACATCTCGACGATATTGTGCTAACGTTTTCGATTTGTTTTTTGTTTTCGCCCCCTCCCAGACAATTTGTATCCAAGGAGGAGAGCGACATCGAGCACTTGGAGCAGCGTTTGGAGAAAATCATCAAGCTGTGCAATGTGGCCGTGGACTCGGGCAAGGAGTATGTCAAGAACCAGAGGTAAACAACTCGCTGCGCCATCATTCTACCTCATTCATATTCATTGGCATCGATTCACCATAATTTCGTCTTTCTAGCGCCTTTGCCATGTCCTTGTGGGATCTACAGCAGCACTTTCTCGACAACAAGAACGCGCACAATGCGCTGGGCAAGCTGATTCACTGCTTCCAGGTTAGCGCTTCAGTGATGTCCTAAAGCCTGTCTATATAAACCCTGTCTGCTGTTTGTTTTGCAGGAGATGAACAAGTTCCACACCATCCTGTTGGATCAGGCTAGTCGCACGGTGCTTAAAAACCTCAGTGTGTTCGTGAAGGACGATATCAACCAGGTGAAGGACTACAAGGGACATTTTCTCAAGGTCTCCGAAGGCTATGACAATGCGCTGATTAAAAACGCTCAGGTACGCTTGACTCGCAGTAGAGGGGATATGATTCCTGTAGCCTTATCCTTGATTGCTGCATTGCAGGCCAGCAAGAACCGACCGCAGGAGATGCAGGAGGCTGCCAATATCCTTTCGGCCTCCAAATCGTGCTTCCAACACACCGCTCTGGATTATGTCAACTATATAACGCTGGCGCAGGCTCGTAAGGTCCCCTCAATACTATCCACGGTAAGAAAAGGGAAAGGGATAGTTCACGCCAATAAAATATTGCTTATCGGCTTTCGACTGCCATGAATGAAGTGCCCACATCCCCTAAGTAAATAACATTCTGTGATTTGTTATTGCTATGACGTCACTGTTGTGATATCAGTGTGAGCATGTATGAGTTCCATATCTAAAACCAATGATCAGCATGTTGAGTCAGTCGGTGCGCTGTCCAATTCGCTCAGTTGCCTATCGAAAGTGCGCGGAGCTGGATTGCCGCTATCGAAGAAGGCTGGCAAGCAATAGCTGTTATTCTTTGCATTTGGCACGTTTTCATGTTGGTCCCCTCTGCTTTCTATTCTATTCTTTTCTATTTCGGCAGCTGTTGGATTACTATCAGGCGTGCGTGACCTATTACCACCAGGGCTTCGACCTGTGCAACGACTTTGACGAGTTCTTCAAGAATATCAGCGAGGATTTGAACGCGTTGCGCGGGGACTATCAGCAGCTGGAGAAGGCCATGCAGAATCGCCATATGAGCGTGAATCGCTACTGCGACTCGAACACCAACAGCACATCCAACAAGATCGAGGGCTATCTATTCAAAAAGAAGTCCAAGGGCTTCAAGACCTGGTGCCGGCGATGGTTCTATCTCAGCGACAACCAGCTCGTATATAGGTGGGTGGATGCTCCCTTACTACTGCTATTCATTTAGTCCATTCAGATACATACGTATGCCATCCCATCTGCTTGCTTAGTTAATCAATCGTCTTCTTTTCGTTTGCAACTTTTGATTTTTGTGATGTTTTTGTTGTGTGGTGTAATGTGATGTGTTGTGGCCGTACGCTGAAGTGATTTGGATTCGCATTGCAGAAAACGCAGCAACGAGGACTCGTTCTCAGTAATGGAGGAGGATCTGCGCATCTGCAGCGTGCGCCCGGTGAACGAGGGTGACCGCCGTTTCTGCTTCGAGGTCATCTCGCCGACCAAGTGAGTATTTCACGTTTGATTTGTCATAGATAATGGTTACAACTAGTTTCTTCTCATTTGTAGATCACACATCCTGCAGGCTGACTCCGCCGACATGCTCTCGCTGTGGATTTCCGCGCTGCAGCACAGCATAGGTGCAGCCATCCAGCATGACTCCACGCATCACTCGCGACCACAATCGACGAACGCCCCCAACAATTCTCTGCCTGCAAAGCGTAGAATGTATGTTTGAATCATCGGTATTATCCAGCTTAATCATAACACAAATTTTCCACTTCGCAGCCACTGGGAAGAGTTCCTGAAAATACCGGGAAACGCATACTGCTGCGACTGCAGGAGCCCCGAACCACGCTGGGCCTCCATTAACCTGGGCATTACACTGTGCATCGAGTGCTCCGGTGTGCATAGAAGCCTGGGCGTGCACTACAGTAAGGTGCGTTCCCTGACGCTGGATGCCTGGGAGTCGGAGAACGTAAAGGTAATGATGGAGCTCGGCAACGAGGTGGTCAACCGCATCTATGAGGCACGCATCGGCGATGATTGTGCGCTCAAAAAGCCGACGGAGCAGTGCGAGATCGGAGTGCGCGAGGCTTGGATCAAGGCTAAGTACGTGGAGCGGCGGTTCGTTTGCGGTATGCCCAAGCCGCAGGAGCTGCTGGCCAGCGAGACAGCCGAAGTCCTCAGCATAGACAGTGGTGGCGTGGTAGAGGACGGAGAAAGTGGAGGCAGTGGAATCGCTAAGCGAGCCACTCTGTCGCTGGGCGGCACTCGAAAGTGGGCGGTGAAAAAGCTTCGACGAAGGCAGAAGCAGCGCCCAATCCCAAAAACTCTGAGCGATGATCCGAGCATCTATAACACAGCCAAGACCGGCGACGAGTTGGAAGATGACGATGATGATGAATCCATCAACATTCCCTCGATGTCACTAAGCATTTCGCGCGATGATTTGCTTGTGATCGGCGATGACCTGGCTCTTGACAGATTGGAGACTCCCGGCATACTAGGCAGCGATCAAGAGAGCACCGATGGCGAGTCGGATGTGGAGTCGCCAGAGGAACTACCCTTCTCGCAGCTAGACGCCAACCAACTGCTGTACATGGCCTCGGTGGTGCACAATCTACCAGTGATGTGCATGGCCTTCGCACTGGGTGCCGACAAGATGTGGAAAAATCCCCAGGACCGGCAACGATCGTTCCTGCACCAGGCCGTGATCTCCGGCTCCGTGATGGCCTGCGAGTTTCTGCTACTTAACGGAGCCGCCATCGATGCTGTGGACGAAATGGGCTACAGCGCCCTGCACATATCCACGGCCAAGGGCCACATCGCCCAAGTTTATTTACTATTGAAGCATAAGGCTGCATACGACCTCTCCTCCAGTGACGGAAAGAAGGCTTTGGACATTGCGGTGGACCAGGAAAACGCCGATATTGTAACGCTGTGAGTAGCATAATCGAGCTTCAATCCGGGGGATACATAACCATCCTTGTTTCAGACTCCGATTGACACAACTGAATGACGAGATTGGACCCAACGACGAATACAATGGAGAAGATGAGACGTACAAGAACGTGATGAAGGACTTCTCCAAGTTACCAGCCAGCCAGACGCGAGTTCTGCGCCAGCGGCATGACTCAAATACACTCGAATCGCAGCGCAGCTCGCTTACAAACTCCGACTAGCAGTGGCACAAGGGCCGCAAGAGCTAGGAAGTTACTGGATATTATGGAAATTGTTCCGATTTGTAGGCTAGCGTGATATTGGATTGTTATTGGCTTTATAACGCATTGACCAGGAATGTTAAACGGTTTCGACCTCTAAGGATGTCGTTGCGGGCTTGTTTCCCTTGGTAATCTCATTTGAAAAGCGCTTCCGATTATACAAGAAAATATTATTCATTGCATTTGGCATTCGAATGGCAGGCATGACCATTCGTTTTCTCTTAGGCGCATTTTGAGTCCTGTTTTTTGGCGATTAGCTTAAGTTTAAAGTATTCGTAGCGCAGTTGAGTTTATTAAAAATACGTATATTTGCCTATCAAATTGTACATCGTCTTATGTGGTATTTATTAAACGATATTGTAAAATGTACGTCTAGCTATATGGTATACTGTTACAGAGCTGATCCAAATGTTCCGATTTGTATTTGTTTGCTAAACTGTTTAACGCTGCATGTTTCTAAATGTTTTAACACTATCATGTTGATGATATTTGGTGCCAACTCTTGTGAGCACTCTAAGTTCGCGAATAAAGTTGTAAAATATTCAGATCAGTTGGTCTCTTCAGGTGTAACATTGTGGTCCAACCTACGGTGGTGTAATGGGTAAACATGTCCAGGTAGTCCAGTAGTTCTAGGACACAGCTTGAAACTCGTTCGTCTCGGATATGTAGTCAGTGAGCTTGTTCTTCACCTTGTGCATTGTGGTCACATGTCTCTGGACAGCACTGCGATCGTTAAACTGTCGCCCGCACTGTTTGCAGGAGAACATGACGCCAGCGTGGGTGACCAGATGGCGGCTTAGGCCCGAAACATGGTTAAAGCTGCGATGACACAGATGGCATTTGTGCGTCCGAGAGTTGCCCATGTGCACGCGGCCAATGTGCTGCTGCAGGTTGGACTTCTGGGCGAAGCAGCTTGAGCATTGAGGGCACTGATGGCGCTTTACTCCCGTGTGGGTGTCCATGTGACGCTTGAGCACCTCGCGCTGGGAGAAGGACAGTTCGCACTCGCTGCACTTGAACGGTTTCAGGCCCGTGTGGATGATCATGTGGCGCTTGAGGGAGCTGGCGCACGAGAGCTGCAGTGCGCAGCTGGGACACTTTAGCGTGCCGCCCTTTCCACTTTTCAGTCCCTTAATGTGGATGTTGTGGTGGCGCGTCAAAAGTTTCTGCGTAGGAAAGGCCACCGGGCACAAATGGCACTGGAACGACTTTACCGTGTCTGTTATTCGACCGGTTTTCGGTTGAGGGCAACTGGAATCCTGCTTGAAGACTAGGTCACTTGACCTCTTTCGTTTGAGGGGCGTTTGCTCATCTCTATCGTCCTGTTCCTTTTCCTATGCGTAATAAGATTGAAGCTACATTTGTGTTTAATTTGAAGTCACATGCTTAGTTACCACTATAATGACATTTTCGTGGAAGCTGAAGACCTGTTGCTCTTGAGATATCTCCTCGCCCAGATTAAACACCACGACATCTTCGATTTCCTCTGGCTTTTCGCCACTGAACTGAATTTCGCCGTCTTCCTTGACTAAGCAAAGAGTTTAATGAAATAAGAACTTATTAATTTATTTTTGCCAAATATACCCACTTACTGTTATAGGAGGTTATACCGTTGTCCTGGTCAAATTCGGGAGTGGAGTCTTGGTTTTGATCCTCTGAGCTGGCAGAGTTTATGATGTAGATCTCTCCATTATCTGTGTGCACTACATCCCCTGATCCCACCATGTTGATATCCCTGAAATCTTCACTGCTATCCGCGGGCACTTCCTCTTCCAGTTCGAGGCCATCTATGTTTACATCGCTAGTACTTACGGGTTCTGAATTGCACCCCAATATAAATTCTTCTTCTTTTCCATCCTTCGTGGGCTGTATCACCTTTTGATTGGCGACGACCAAGCTGGGGCGTCGCTTTGGAAGAGTTTTAAGTTTTGGCCTAGAGGTGGAGGCGTCTTCATTGGCTTGCGTCTTGGAGTCCGACTCGGATCCATCCAAGGACTCCCATCGACCGGCCTTCTTTTCGGTGAGATACACCTCCAATTCGCCTAACAGCATGGCCAGCTGCTCCTTTCTTATGTCCTCGCTAACCTCGCTTCGCAGGTCATCTCTAACCTGGTTGCGCACCTCCTCGGCCAGGTCCTTGCGCACCTCACTGCGCACTTCCTCCGCTAGTTCCTTTCGCAGCTCGGTGGTAAGTTTCGCTCGAAGCTCTAGACGAGATTTGACCAAACGCTTGTGCATTTCCGCCGTCTGCTCTTCCTTGAACTCTGCTCGCCACTTTTCGTCCTCCAGCTTGCGCACTTTGTCCTGCGCCTCGATGAAGGCTATCGAGTCCTCAAACTCTAGCTCGTCCTCGTCATAGTCGTCCGGATCCTTGGAAAACACGCGGCTCCGCTTCCCGAGGCCCAGAAGCCGAACATGCTTGCGCAGCTTCTTCTCCGCCCACTGGCAGCGCTGCCGGAAGAGGAATGACTTTTCCAGCTGGTAGCGGCACTCCTGGCAGATCCTCTTCGGCAGAGTATCCGTCGCCTTGGCGTCCAGTGCGACGCAGGCCATCAGGCGCACGGGAATCGAGAGCTGGGCGTCGTCCTCGCCGAAGATCGCGTACGCATCCTGGTGCTCCTTGAGGCACAGGCGGCACAGGGTCGCCAAATCGGGATACGACGGCAGCGCGTCCATAAAGTCGTCTATTTTTGGTAAATCAAAGTATTTACTCGGTGGCGTCTCTGCATCGCAAGCAATGTGACCGCAGACTGGGCGGCAAAAAATACCTACTTTCGAAGCAATACAGCCACACTGTTCATAAATAAGAAACAATTTTAAATAACATGTAAAACGCCTTTAGTTTGAATACAAAACGTCACATAAAGTTATTCCTGTTTTAATTATTTTATATCAAAGATATTTATTAATATTCGTGCTAGATTTAGCCTTTACGTTTGTCAAAACGAGTGATATTTATTAAAATCCAGTGCCTTAATACTCGAAGTATTGGATGAGATGGCATAGTATATGAATATTTGGATATGAAGATTTCAAGAATACGATAATATAAAAGAAATGGTGATGGCTTAGCTTAGTGCACAACAAAATTCGATATTCTTATATATAGAGGATTCAACTATCGTAGTAATACATAGTACACTCGCAATACATATAGCGTGTAAATGCTCTGAAAGACTTTTACTGGCTACGTCACGGTGATATTTCGCTTATCCGCTCCTCTGAGACGACAGCGCACACAACTATTAAAATCTGCGTACGACTTGGGGTTTCTGTTCTTGAAGGAGCTGTGCTTACGGCAGAGCTGCTCGTTCTTCTTTTTGGGGCTCACAAAGCGGACTTTTTTGCAAGGCGATTCGGTTCTTACGTCGTTTAAAGCATCCAGAAAGGTGTCCTTGCTGAAATCGTCGCGCAGATGACTCAGCTGGGGATCGTTCATGTTGATCTCAACCATTGGCACGGCAACTAGGGGCGTTGCAGCTGGCTGCCTGCTGGCTTCTGGTTCATCTTCTATGTAATAAGTCATAAGTGTACCAATTGATAATCATATAAGTGGGTGTTGTGAAAGAAGGGGTGCTCTTACCCAGTAGCTCCACCACGCTGTCATCGTTGTGCTCCACTAGCTCCTCGCCTAACTCTGCTTCGTAAAAACCGTCGGACTGATCAGCAGACAGATGACTGTTTGAGCTCATCCTTAACTCGAGGGACGCCTCGTTGCGCTTGCGCACAAAGTAGCGTTCCAGTTCGTCGAACACGTCGTCCAGGACAGTGAGGCGCAACTGCTGTTTGGCCTCGGCTATGATAACCTCCTCGAGTTCCGCCCGCAGCTCCAGCTCGATGTCCGCCCGCACAGCTTGCTTGCAAGTGCTGAGCAGCTCCTTTTTATAGGCGTCGATCTCGCTGCGAATGAGCTGAGCAGCCTGCTGGCGCCACTGCGCATTGTTCTCGGAGCAGGCAGTGGCCGTGCAGCCAGCCACATCGCGCAGCGAACCCCGGTCTTCCTCCAATTCGCTCAGCTGCGATTTGACCCCCTGGCGTTGCAACGCCTTGTGGCGCCTCAACCGGCGATCGGCCGTGAGGCAGCGTCGTCGGAAGCAGTGCATCTCCTCCAGTCGCAACCGACACACGGTGCATATGTTCTGTGACAGACCGTCTCCGGGCTCGATCTCCACTGACGTGCAGACCATTATCCTCAATGCAGTCGTTCCATTTGTGCCGAAAACAGGAAAGTTGGCGTCGTTTGACAAGCACAGGCGACAGACATTCATGTTGGAGTTCGCTGGAAATTCGGAGAGTGGCGGCCGGATACCTGATTAGGCAATATTCGGGATGATTGATACTCGGGTAATCTTTCAATGCAGTCAATTTGGAACATGAAATATAAAACCATTTGAGAACAAACAAATACAAATTATGGACGCAGCAATCATCAGCAGGCTTATCGATATTTTTAGTGTGGCCATGCGCTCAAGTGCTTTCAGTTTAATAGTTCAAGTCTGGCAGCTCTGTCATGGATGTGACCGTATTTCTGCAACACACTTGGCGCGAGCATTTCGAATATTTGAAAAGTTACAAGAACACTAACACGTTTAAGAAAACTTCAAATATAATTAAAGAACACATTCGTATATCAAACAATTTCATTATATTTCATTAAATATTAAGTATAAATACGCAGTTAACTATTAAGTATTATATACACAATTACAATAAAATATTCAGTCACTATAATGCTTCTTCTATATACAAAGTACGATATATTATATCAAAGGGCTTGAACTCGCCGCCGCACCTCAATAAATTATGCAATTCAATTCCATGATAATATACAGTAACAGTCGTCTGTGTTCTCCGGGAGTTTGCCAATTGATTTTCTCAGGATGATTTAGGATCTGCGCCGAGGATTGCCTACTTACAGCTAAAATGTTTGCAAAAACAATAAGTCAAGGACATTTAACAGTGTTTTCGTTTCGTTTCGTTTCGCATCGTTTTGATTTCATACTCATTTGCTCTTTGCTTAATCGCTTGTGTGGGGTGTGTGCACGTGTGTGGGTTTTGATTTTTTGTGGTAAATAAATAGTATCGATCGATTATTAACGATATTCAACATTGAAATACATCAATCATTAGGCATATACATAACTACAGGATATAATACAATACAGGATCGTTGGGATCAGGATCGCTCTGCCGGGATTCCGCCTCAATCGTGGCGCCAGCTCTGCGGCAGCACGTAGTCCTTCACCTTGTAGAGCGCATTGGCATACCAATGGATGCCATTCTGCTGCTCCGCTGTGGTCACCACCTTCGGCGAACTGTGCAACTGCTCCTTGGCGGGCAGCCACGCCTCCAGCGTGGACAGGAGGCGCATTGGAGCCAGTCCCCAGTGGGCCAGTGACTGGCTGTTGATCACTGCATAGCAACTGGCGGCCACCGAATTGACCACAATGGTGCCCTCGCGGGTCAGCGGTGCCACCACGCCCTTACTGCGCACACTGCCCACTTTGACGACTCGCTGGGGCCTCAGCTCACCCGTCTCCACATCCCGGACAAGCACCTGGTTCTTCTCCTCGACGCGATCCGCAAACACAAAGGTCAACTTCTGGCTCTCCGCCTGCCAAACGCTAACCAAGTGAGCCGGGGTCACCGTGAGCACAGCTTCACCGTCCGTGTGCAGCTGCACAAAGTTCTGCATCTGCTCGAGGTTGCGGTCCATGAAGAGGATCACTTCGCTGTAGACGGCCTGTCCGTTGGCGGTCATGCTCAGGACACGGTCTCCGATGGAGAGCTCGCCGAGCGGCTTCCGGACTCCATTTTCCAGCAGCGCTGTGCTTTCCGGCGTGAAGCAGCCGTGCACATGGGAACTGATCGACGAATCTGCAAGTAAGAAAGGAAAGGGTTCGGTTAGAAAAACAGATTTTAAGTAAATATTAGGTACTATTGTAATATACGTAATACACCTTACATTTTTCTAATAAATATTCAATACCACAGTCTAATCGCATAGCAAGGGTGTTCATGTATTTTACACAATCTAAAATCAAATACAACCTTTCTAAACTGCAGATTGCTTGTTTGGTTGCTGAGGGCCGCCCAGGTAATGGCATTAGTTTGCTAATCTAATTTGGCGTTAAGCATCCAATTGCCAAGCCCAACAAGTCAAAAAGGTTTTCACAGATCCGGGGCTGGCCCGTTGCAGCCCAATGTGAAACAATGGGCCCGAAAGGACTGAAAGGACTGCCTTTTGCGGCTCGCCAACAAGCCAGGAACATAATGCGATCGTGGAACAGAGATCCGAGATCCGAGATCGGAGATCAGCAATCTGCGATCTGCCAGGCATATCAATAACAAGCGGCCGACGTGTTTTTGTTTCGGCTTGCACAAAAATTGTGATCTTGTTTTCCCTACAAGATTAGCCGTGGGATCAGCATCAGCAACATCCGAAGCCGAACTCGAGCCAAAGCCGCTTAGAAATCCCAGGGAAAAAATGCAAAGAAATAAAATGAATTAAAAAAAGGGGGATGGGCCAGGTAGCAGCTTGTGGTTTGTTTTCCCAACCTTTTTTGGCAACCTGTTGGCAATTACCGAACATGCTGCAACCCACCTAAACAATAATCGAAGTGCTGGCCACATTAATCATCATTAAATGGGTATCCGATTGCAGGGCCAGGGGCCCACCCAGATGCATCTGGAGAATATCGGGATGGACTTTGTAGAACTTTCTCTGGGGGCCTTCACACTCGAAGCGCCGATGCTGCTTGTAAAATTCAAATTAAAAATTCCAGACCAAATGCGACCACTAACCGTGCGCTTTATTATAATGAGCGGCCATAAAGTGGCCTTGTTGCGGCTGCCGCTGCCGCTGCCGCCGCCGCTGTCGCTGCCACTGCGATGGAATTCCAAAGAAAATGCACCTTCCCAGTGGCCAGGCCGAAATTCCCATTGATGCATTTTGGTAAACAGAGACAGGCGGACACACGAAAGTGTAGAAACAATAAAAATCGGATTAAATACATATGGCTGGCGGTCTATAAAACCCATAATCGATGGGGATGGCGAGGGGAATGGGACTGGGGGATCGGAATCGGAGTAGGAATCGGAATCGGGCCCAAAAGAACAGACGAAATGGACAAAAGATACGGGGGAGCTGGGGAGGAAGCGCGGTAGTAACAAGAAAAATTGGTGTGAAATCTACCTTCTACCAAAACAGGCACTGGAACCGAAAAGAAACAGAGACCAAAAATAAAAACGAGGGACAAGAAAAATCTCAGGCCGTCTTCGTTGTTGGCGGTGAGTGGAAAGTGAAGAACTTGAAGGGTCATAAATTAATAAACCATTAAAGTGGTTAAAATTATCGTTATTTCATCTTTGTTGTGAAGACTAAACTGATAAATTATTACAAAACAGAGGACAGCCAAGCTGATGCTGCTGTTGTTGTTGTTCTCGTTGTTGTTGGCTTGGTGACTGATCGTTTGGACAGCATTAACATGAACATGCAACAACAACAACACGCGCTTGGGGCCTTTAATGCGCGCGCGCGACACACCAGCAACAACAACAAAAGGCAGCAGCAACATTGGTAAGAGCGAAACAAGAAAAAAAAACGAAAAAAAAAATTAGTGTCGACAAAAAGGTTTACAGCCATTACTCTTCGTCGTCGTGCCACTGCTGTTGTTGTTGTCGTTGCTTTTGCTGTTGTTGCTGCTGCTGCTGCTGCCGTTTAGGCCCCACAAACGAAAGACTTAGGCAGCGAACTCGAGGCGCAGCGAATGCTGTGCCAAAACTGTCATAAGCCCGTGGTTTATGTGCAGCCGGCTATCAGCAATCAATCGCCCCGTAATTTATTGATAGCCAGCAGCAGCAGCGCTAGCAAACTGCAACACATGGCTTTCAGGACCCCCTGGACCACACACACACACATGTTGCAGGATGGGCATTGGATGACCTGCTTGCCACTTGTTGTTCGTCGGCTGACCTTTTGATATTGCCCAAGCAGAGGGAGATGGAGGAGGATGGGGGAGGATGACAGCAGGATGCAGGCTCATAGCCAGGCGGCTCCTTTCATAAGCAATTAGAATCAATGAGCAAGGACACTCGGCTCCGTTTCCTTTCCCTCGCCCTTTTGTCCTGCCGCAATCTTTATGGGCCGCCACCAAAAGTCACAATATTGTGACTCGACTGCGTGTGTGGGAAAGAGGCGTGGCATCTTGTAATTGTAGATGGAAATTAAATGAACAACTGACAGCCGGTCGCACCCAAAGTGTCTATCTGACTGTATGTGTGGGAAACTTGAAAGGGAAAATCCCTCTCGAGCCGCTAAAGAAATGCAAAAAAAAAAATAAAAATGAAATATAAAAAAGAACCAAAGAGAGAGAGCAAATCTTGGCAAGAAAACTTAATTGTCTTGGCCCGTTTTGGTTGGCTGATCGGGCCAAAAGCATTTTCTTCTCGGTCTTTGGGGCAGTTTCGTTATGTTTCGGGGAAAACTGGTTGCTGGCCATAATGGCAGCTCACGGATACACACTTTGACGGCCAGGCTTGTCTTAACTGATGATGCTAACTTGCTGGCCGTTCGGTGTATTTTTGTATTTTTTTTTTTTTCAATTAGGCCCGCGCTCAGGTTTTAGCCCGGCATTTAATTCATCTTTGCCTCTTTGCCAGTTTGCCTGTTGCCTGTTGCCCGTTTGCCTGCTTCTCCAACAATCTTGGCCAGTTTGTGCTGCCTGAGAAACGCTTTGGGTGTCGTATCATCAATTCGTTTAATTTGACAGGCGCAAACCTAAACATGTCAAAACAACAGCCATGCGGTTAGTAGTGGTGGTTGCCGCCTCTGGAGCCGACTTTTCGGGTTCAGGCCCAGTCCCCAGATCCCAGTTCCCAGTCCTCGTACCATCCAGACCATCCACTTGGCCAGTCCGGTTTTCGTACTTTGTTGCCGTTTTCTTCCTCTTTCGGATCTTGAGAGCCGAGTCTTTTAACTGGTACTGTGCACTGGGCACTGCAGCCGTGGCCAATTCGGCGGATGCGATGTGCAGGGCGGGCTGCGAGCGGCTGAAATTTGCCAACGCCTGTCAGCTTAGCGATCGCCAGTACGAAACATGCGAAATTACGCTTGTTAGTGTCACTTCTGGCTAACTGACCAGGCCCACCCATCACCCAGCACCTCGGCTTTTTGCATCCTACGGATTGCACTTACTTCAAACAGTCTAAGGTTTTAGGGGAATTTAATAGTGGTGCGTATTCGTCTAAGACTCTATCAACCCGGACACATATTTACGAATTTTATATTACCACACATTAAGAGTCATAATTTGTTAGTATTCATGATGTATGCATCTGATATTTACAACGGCCTAACTGTTACCTAACTCATGAAAAAACCGTAAAACCGGAAAACTGTTCACTATGAAAAATGACCAAATAATGAATATAAAAACAGCGATTAAGTAAGCTATGTGGACAATTACCTGACTTGACGGAGCAGTA